TTTGGGGTATCTTCAAGCTTCAGTGTCTGGCTGAGCTCTGTCATCACACCATAGCGATTTCTAGCAAACAAAGAAAAATTCAGTGCTTTAGTTGAGTCTAAGTACTTTTGAGGGGTTTTGCCATGCCTCTTGCATATTTGAGGATGAAGTTAGGAGAGAATGTGATATATCGCCATTTAAAATGAATATTTATAAATAAAGGGTAATGATAAATAGTGAGCAACCTACTTGTATGAGAAAGGCAGAAACAGGTGTTTTTCACTGCAGACAGCATCTCTTATATGCCTTTTCTTTGCATCAATATTGTAATGACAGAATTGAGTGCTCCTTAGAAGGGTAGATAACGGGATGTTCTGTAAAATAAATAGTTTGGCAGTCATTTTACTGAATAGCATAGGAAACAAACATTGTTTTAAAGCCTGCCATTGTTTTACTGTAATATTAACAGTAACAGCATATTGGAAAAAAAGGTGCATAATTGGAATCATTCTCACACAAAGACAAAATTGTACCAGTATCAATCTTTAGTCTTAAGTCTCTTCACAGGCAAAAATCCCCCTGAAATTTTCCCTCAGGCCTTATTGAGGTGTTTGGTTTAGTAGTTACTTCATGACTGATCCCCTGCTGCCTACAACAAAGGACTCCTTCATAGACACCAGTTTGTAATCTTTAGAGTTGTTCAGGCCCCTCATAACAGTTGACGCTCTTTTTAATTTCGCTATTACAGACATTTTAAAGATTTCTACAACAAACTGTAGAAGTGGTAGAAATTATAAAATATGTTTTCAGCATGATACGAAATCCTAATTATTTTTTGAGGGAAAACACTCAAAAGCATAGATGCCATGATACCAGGAAGAAATCTGCCAATATTCACGCAAGCAACTGCATTTGATCATTGTGGATTAACAGGTAGCCTGAACAGCATGCCAAACCATTTACTTTGAGGCATTTAGAGCCCTCTCCTCCCGCATATCATATACACATCAGGGTTTTGGTAGACTACAGGTTTTACATGATGGACTGCATGTTTTACATGAAATTGGAAGCCTGAAAATTTTGACCCACAAAACTAAAAATTTGGACATGATCTGACAGGTTATCATGTAACCAATATTACTAACTCCATCTATGAAAACTCTCCTTTAAAAAATAATGAGAACATGAAAGTCTCTTTCTCTGCATCTGTTTTTCTCTATTGACTGCCAACAAAACCATAGTCTGATCTAATGCAAGGGGGCAGAAAACCTATTTAAGCTTTCAGAAGATAAATACAAAATTTATTTGTTGTAGTAGTTGTTTATAATTTTAACTGATGTAGTGAAGAATGTTATATCATATAATTTTTAATGTTGTACTTACTAGTCCCTTTACAATGGCAATAGGGTTGACATAATCTCTGATGGGACTGAAGTTGTCACAGGCTTTCAGGTCTCTGTTAATCGAAATCTCTTCTGCAACATTTCCTTTTCTAGATTTGAATTCAACTTCACTGTCACACTTTCCATACACAGTATCCTGGAAAGAAGAAAGAAATCAGTGTCTTTGTTCATACTGTCAGACATTTTCTGATCTAGCTGAAAGGCACCCTTTCTCATCTGAATTACCAGGTCTTTTGAAAAGGATGTTCGGGAGTGACTCTTCTAGGGAAGGTTTCTTCCATTTATTAAGGAAATAAAGTGACTGTTTTCAAAACACCTACCATTGAAATTGTTTTTACGTTTTCTGTTGTTTCTGTTGGCACAAGTAAAGCTGAGATGATCCCTCTCTTGAGATTCAGTACATTCAGAGGTTCATCCTTCTCCGGATACAGTTTGACTTTTGTTCCATTCTGAATGCTGAATTTTAGCTCATGCCTGCCCAAAAAAACCCCAGCATTAGTATGAAAACATGTTAAAGCCACCCAGTGAAGAGCATGTTATCAATAAAATGCTGGGCGTATAGCTAAAGCATCATGTTTATCTTGGTCTATCATTATTTACTCTTCACTGTTGTTACTATTAGGGAGCATTATTATTAAAGCAGCAAAATTCTAACCAAGGACATTCTGATATCACCAGACTGTGTCATCTAAGGACAAGTAAATATCAAGAGGAATGGCTGGAAGTTGGAATTGCACAAATTCAGAGAGGAGATAAGTAAATTTTTAGAATCAGGTAATTATTAACTACTGCAGTAGGCTACAAAATGACAGGAAGGATTCTCTACTAGTTACAGTCTTTAAATAAAACCTTGATTGTTTTCCGAAAAACATATTTAATATTGTCTCGAGTTGTTTTGAGATCCATGGCTTCTGAAACAAGATGGAGTGGATACCGAGGCACTGAAACAAGCATGAAGGTGCATAAGTGAAATATGCACTGACAAGCACTAGAGACTAGTTGGGTTGAGGGAGTAGTAGCAATAAGTTAAAAAAGCAGATAAGTAAGGAAGAGATAAGTTGCATAGGTCATTAAAGATCGGGATAGGAAATCTGGACTTCAGTCTCAAATACCTTTCTATTGCACAGTCTTCATACCATGTCAGCAAAGTAAAATTATCTTAAAATGGCTGCACACAGACATTTGAGAATTTGCTTACAAGAAGGAACATTCTACTTGCAATAATCCTTTACAGGACTACCCAACACTTTCCTGATACAGATGATATAAATGACAAAAACATTACAGGTGAAAATTCTGGATCAAAAAACCCCTTCCCTGCTAGCAATTGAAAACTGTGCCAAGTTAGCTCTAAATTATATCAGGGAGAGTTTTGATGTGGAATCAGCTTATAAATCTATCATGTTATCATGAAATGTATTCTATGCCCGGAAAAACATAGTCAGGGTGGCCTGTAACATTGCAGTCTGTTCCACATTAAGGCTACAAGTGTTGATGATAATTGATGTTGCTTACTTGGACATGGCATTTGCAAAATCCTCAGAGTTCTTTGACTTTTTCAGCATGGCCCTTCCCTCAGTGTCAACACCAAATGTCTCCCTCAGGGAGCAATGCATTGTCCTCAGGATGAAGTGGCACAACTGTGGTACCTCCAGTTCAATCTGAAAACACAAATATGTGTTTATCCTTTTTTCATTATCATGTTTCCATGATCATCCAGTTACAGTTTTGAAAATACGGTATTCCTCGGGTTTTGTAAAGTGTCAGAATCATCCTACTAGCAGCTGTTGGGAAAGATTCCAAAGTACTCTAAACAGCTTAAGGTAACTTAAGGGAGAAGATATGAAAGCATATTTTCCCCATTAAGTCATTTCAGAAAAAAAAAAAAAACATGATGAGAAAGTCTTGGGCAAGATGGAGGGACATTGGGTAATTTAATGGCCTACAGGACTTGTACTCTTACAGCCCTGATTCTGGCTAGACTGTTACTATCAACAGGCTATCAAGTGGTCTTCATGGCATCAATGAGCTGTTTTAGTTCAACTTCTAGAATTTTTTGATGGACATTGGTAGACTTAGCCCAGAGCTAAGGAAACTAACTACCAAGTCTTCCCCCTCTTGTGTAAAAGTACAGCCAGATGAGGATTGCAATGCACTGGCATAGTGGTATGAAGGACTTCTACTGTCCCCAGTGTCTTCTGTCTAGGACAACGACGGCTTAGTCTTCAGGTCTCTCAACATGTGCCTTTCAAAAGAATGATCTTGTTTGGAAAAACATTGAATGATGCTCCCTAGTTGTCAGCTCCCATGTTACTCAGTGTGCAGTCCCAATCTGTTGTATTTTCCCTACCTTGCAAGTGATCTTTGAACCGCTTCGAGAATCTGCTGTTCCTGTGATCCCATTTGATGTTTCTGCTTCATATAAGTAAACATATTTTCTGAGGTGTTTAAATCTTGTTGCATCTTCTGCAATTGGAAAAACAAGAGTGCTTTCATGACTTGGGTAGGATATGTATATGTAGATCCTTACAATACACGCTTAGTGTTGTGTAACTAAAATGAATGCCATATATAAAGGAAGCATGAGGACCTTCCCACCATTTCCTTTTTCAGAATAGCTTTCAGACAAAGATGTAATGCTTGAATACTTCCTGAAGCATAAGACAAAACTTGGTGGGGAAGCATAAGTCTTGGGGTTCGCTGCTTTGTTTGATGAGATCTGACAATATGACCCCATCTGGCCTTCAAATAATGCCCCATTAAAGTTAATGACAAAAATGAGAAAAAACTTAAGGTGTGGAACTTTTATAAGCTTTACATACCTTAATAGTGTTTTAACTGAGATTAGTTTCATGTAATCGCTAAACAGAATTAATATACTTAATACTAGCTGTCATACAGTAATCAACATGTTACAAACAGTTAACCTTAAAATAACTGCTATAAAAAAATTCAACACTATCCCTGCCACTTTTGGTTATCCTGGACTATATCTCTTAACTGTACATTCTCAGAAATTTTTGCAACACCAGCATTTACTATGCTAAAGCCAAAAGGCTAATTATTACTTCATTTCTTGCTTTTAAACAGAAATAAATGGAAAAGGAAAAGGAATAGGGAAAAGATTAGAAATGCAAATACCAAATAATTTGTTGTATCAAAAATATACAAGAAATCGGCAATGAAGCCCAGGAGTCTTTGAGTTGGTTCAGGCAGTTGAAATGAAACGAATTGCCTGGAGATGGTGCTAAAGCATCCAACAAGGGAAAAACCCCCTGAAGACAAAGAACAAAACAACTTCTTCAGTACTTTGACCCTATGGTGGAACATTATGTACCTAACGAAGCAGTCAGGGCCAGTCAGAGTCCATTATAAAGATAGGGCATAAAGTCAGCATTTCCTGAGTCTTGACTTGTTTAAAGAAACTGCTGCTCTTGCTGACACAGTTGATGATTTAGTCTACAGGTATTTAGTTAGATATCCAAGTGTAAATCTGTGGGATTAGCAGCCACTGTGACGGGTAAATAAGAAGTGAGATTCAGCCCATGGTAAAGTGTAATCTACATAACCTCACTGCTAAAGCTTCACATCTGATAAACAGGGATTTCTAGATTAAGGAATTTGCACCTAACAATTAAGAAATCAACAAAACAATGGAAAGTGGTTTTGTAAAGGGAGCTTTTAAAAAATTTAGAAACTCAATCTCAGCTTCTCTGATCTTAGGAAACTTTTGAAATTCTTTGAGCCAAGCCTTATGGATAGTTAAATATCTAAAATAAATGGCAAAAAAGACTTCAGAATATTGCCATCACTTTTGTTTCAGTTATTTCAGAGGAAGAGATTTATGGAATAGGAAAAGTCAAGCTTTGAAAGATGTATTCAGTTAATATAGCAACATAAGATAACAAAAGTAGATGCAAGAAATCAGTTACTTGAACATCCTGGATTTCCGCTGTCAGGCGTTTCTTCTTCTGTAAAAAATAAAACCACGTATTAAAAGCTTGAAAAGCCATTTATAGCTATAAAACAAGGGCTATAGAAATATAAATGGAAATACTACATTTTCACTGTAAGACCTTTTTAATTCATACCAACTTTTGATGTAGTTTGGCGCACTGATGTAAATAATAATGCTACGACTAACATTGACAGCACAGAGTCAAATCTAAAGGTGCTTACAGTAATTACCCTGATTGTGAACTAAGACCTCAGAATGGGATCTTTAAGTCACTGAATTAATTTACTTTGATTTAAACTGAAAAGG